TGGCTTGTTGAATGAGTTAATGATGCTTGAAGAATGGGAGTGCGAAAAGAAATTTACATTAAAGTATCTACAGTGCAGCAGATGCATTTACCCCTTATCCCGGTTTATTTAATTACGTCGTTTCCCTTAGCGCGCGAAAAACACATGGCAATTAGTTTAAAAGGCAACACTGACAAAAGTATGACAAATAATTAGTATAGGAAATGAAACTATTTTTCGGGATTTAAATCGCATATATTTGCTTTTTCAAACAAACTAACGATTCGGGCCCTTTACAGATCCCATTAGATTAACATTCCCTGTCAATTATGACCATGGGACCTGTAAAGGGCCCGAAACGTTGGTTTGCTTGAAAAAACAAATATACACGCTTTAAATCAGGAAAAATAGTTTCATTTCCTTTGTCAACAATCGCGAAAACCTAAGAACTCGATAAATAATTATTAGACAATACATTAAACGGTAACACTGAACCGCATGAGTGTAACTGCATAAAGAGTCTTTCGCTCCATGCAGTTACATACGATAACCACGATAAACAGATCATCAATGGTACTATTGGTTGTTTTTTTTAAGATCTCGGTGGTTTAACGGTTTGCACTGTGGACAATGGATGAGCAGGTTCCGTAATGGATTTTTCTAAACTGGTTCTCGTCTGGGTGTTCTGGGAAGCGCCTTAGAATGAAATCCGTTGCTCTGGTACTCATAGTACAGGGAATTCCTTGAGACCAGGCAATTGGTGTGGTTGTCTAGCAAATTATTTTTTTATTGGTTTCAAATGCGTCAAAATGTTCTTTTAAGTTTAGTAACAGGGTTAAATATTATATTAAGACCAAAGTATTTATGTATACCATTATAGTATAATTACAAAAATCGTTTACCAGTATGACGTAGTCAATGTAATACGAAGCTATCGTTACCGTAATGGTGTCGCGTATTAAATTGCCAATAATAATATTTAGCTGGATGTACATTTCAGTTTACGTCTAACCTAAACACTAGACTAAAAATGATGTTATAAGTTTTTTTTTAAATGATGGGACGAACAAGTCGTGCGCCTGATGGTAAGCGATACACAGTGCCATTCAGAGCTTTAAATCGCAAAGATCTGAGGTACACCTGCACCCATCACCCTGAGTCATAAGTTGAAAAGACCCACGTGCCTGTAATTTCATCAGCACCCTTAATTACCCTTCAAAACCGGAACACAGTAATATTCACGTTACTGTTTGACGGCAGAAATAGGTAAGGTAAGTTATGTATTACTTATGTATATTATGTAGTTGTATGGATGGTCTTTTTCACCGGCTTTAAAAGGGAGGAGGTTCTCAATAGGTACGTCTGTATTTTTTTGTGTGTATGTTACTCTATTACTAAAAACATTTATGAACCGTTTTGATGATTCTTTTTTGTCGGAAAGGGGGTATCTCAGAAATGGACCCATTCAAATTGGCGAAAATATTTCACCTCCAAAGGTGGCAAACTGAATGAAACCGGTTTATTGAATTCCAGCCACTTTCAATTAAACTTGGCACATAGATGAAATTACAAAGAAAATAACACGTCTCGTCACGTGTTTGGGCACATAATATGATTTGTTATCCTTAAAAAACGAACGCAACGAAAATGGATAAGTTTTTGTGGTCGATTTTTTTAAATAAAAAAATATAATTATATGAAATGTTTTCATCACCTGCTGAGCAATTTCATTCCAACTGTGTTAATACGTCAAACCTACAATATGTTTTCATTGCATATGTGATTTGAATAAGTTCAAAATTAAAATGTTCATGACAATGCCAAGGAATGTCTGAAGAAAAAAATGTTCTGCGAAACATTAGTATTCAATTCGATGTGTTCAAGTGCATTGAACGTGACATTAGATCCAATGAATTGCACATTCCGACGAATTACAAACTGATTACGTCACACGATAGAATACTTCTAGTTAGTATTAGTCGAAAAAAGAGTTGTGGTAGTTATATTTAGCATGTTGCTGGAATGATCACACACGCAATACGATGCTAAAAGTGGGTTATGTTGGTAAGTAGGTAACTGCGCTGAGTGCACGGTTGTTAGACATCTGCATTTACGTTATCACCAATCTGTTTACATGTAATGAGGATATTTAATATTGATAGCACTTATTGAAATATTTTTACGAGTATTTGTGAGATATTAAATGTAAAAGAAATAATATAATAATATCCTTTATTTAGAACAAAACACATTTTTAGCCTTTTGTTCTTCGGATGCTTCGCAGAGAGATGAAACACGTGTGGGGTATATTTTTGGAGGTGGTGTTTGAAATTGTGCACTTGTGTTATTTATTTTGCTAATTTTATGCGATGTTAAAGAGTAATTTTATGTTTAACGCAAGCGCAGGTATTTTGCACGATTTAGCCTTCACTGGGTTCACGGAGTAAGAAATTAATTTACTTTCATTTTTATTTACATGGACTTCCTTAAAATAACGCCTCATCTCAAATCTATTAATTAATTTCATCAAAATAATGTTTCTTTTTTGGACAGTCAAACGAATCGGAGCATTTACCTTCAACTAGGCAAATTGAAAGCTTCCTGAAGAGTTTATCTTGAAACTCCTAGGAATCCAGAGCTTCAAAAACAAAATGACTTGAAGTAAGCCACCTGAGGTAGGCGAATTGGAGCCTTTTGAGATTATATGCTCGTCAGGCGGCGCAGCTCGAGCCTCCCATGCTCTCGTAGACTTGGGAAGTGGTCAGTGTTCAGACAGGTCGCATGCTATCTGCCTAGTGCAAGTTACTTTTGATATAAGAATTTATAAGAAAAAAAGTATATTTCTTTATAAAATGTTTATGTCAAAGATGATGTAGTGTGACCAGGATAGAAAATTGAATACTTCTATAGTTTGGTCATACAGAAAGGATGTTAGTAGATTAACGGCCTTGACATACATATTTCGATCAGATTGGGGATGGCCTTATAGAAGGTCAGGCTAAAAGTACTAAGAATTAACTGGCATTTATGAACAGACTAATGTGAGTGGAGAAGACGAAAGAGGTTTATCATAATGTATATCTAAGTCGTTATCAAAGCACCGCCTCCGTTTATTCGTTAAGAAACGTGCACCTTCATTCAATAGTTCAATACAATGTTTCGTATTTTTTTTACGATATCAAGTGATGGGAATTTACACAAAGCGAGAACCGCACGCCCATTGGCAAAGCCTTTCACAAAGATGGCAGACATGTCCCATAAGTCCTAAGCTGCAAGTCTATGCTATGATAAGAAAGTATCACTAGCTGTTTAGTAGTTTTGCCATTTCTAATTCAGCAAGAATTTCCTTCCTGAGGGTTGGCTTAATTTAGGGTTAACGTGTGTGACTTTTCTTAACAAGACTATTCTTGACAATTCTATCGACTATTGTATTTAAGTGGGTAAAGATTGGCAATGCGACCAAACAGTCCATTGTTTTAATGAATTCAACTGTTCTCACGTATCGTTGATTTCACAACGATAATGTTACAAATCTTTCCAAAACTTACGGTGCGTAAACGGTTTGTTTTTTTAGTCGTGTTGAGAACAGTGAGTGTATCTATTTGTTGTTATTAATATAGTCAATGGTGATATGAGTAGATAGATGGAGGAATTTGATATTAGGTATGACATTCCTTAGTTACTATGTGTGTCAAATAATATGAAGTTTTGAAACGACATTTTAAAAGTACTTTGTTTTTTTATTCATGTACTTAGTGGCAGTAGAGTTCCCAGTGAAATAGGTCGTCCAGGCAAGTAATGCCACCTTAGTTTTTGCAGCGAAGCAGTAATGCGAGTATTATTGGATCCAGTTTTCATAACTTACATTTCTATCATACACCAAACGAAATATTATTACGTGTATATATACCGTACATCAAGACTCTTATTCGAGTGGTATGGACAATTTTTCAATCTGTTAAATGTATTTTTAAGTATTATTTGACTATGCTCTAATGAGTCAGATCTCAAGATATCTCAATAACCGTAGTGATTAATTTAGTGTTTACAATAAAAAACAATAACTATTATTGCATAACAATTGTCAACGAAGATTACGACGCATTCTTTTGTTTATTTCTTCGAAAAATCAATAATACGAACCATACGAATGTTTTTTTTAGGAATTTACTCGTTATATGAAATTGCAATTACGTAATTATGGAATATTTATGTGATTAGTTAAACTATTCCATGAAAACTAGATGCTATGACGCCATGTTGAGCAAACCAGTTCACTCGACCAAAACCAAAAATATGTACTAATGACAACCTCAGTGGCCCAATGGGCGCTGAATGAGAAAGTTAAGGATCTAATTCCTGGTAGGGCCAATTTGGTAACTGAACTTATCTGGGTTTCTGAGTAATATCCCGGAGAGAATTCCGTTGCTCTGATAATCATTGACAAGCAACTAGTCCCGGGAGCACATGATAATTATATTTGGGCTTATTGGGGTTCAGTTGCGACTTTAAATTGACACTAGGTTCAAATTCCACAAACCCCATAGTACAGGGACTGGTCTACCACATTATTGACATTATCATTTCTTAGATACTCGGAAGCGTTTTACGTAACAGCAGTTATCACCACATTCGATAGAACTACAATTTAAACAATCTGTTGTATTAAACCACTGACGATTCTCATGAATCATATCAATTATTTCAGAACAAACGTTACTTTCTTATTTTTAACCTTTTCGCTGACCTGTATTCAATGAAGTGTAAATGGATTTTTGTTTAAAATTTTTACATTAAAAGTCTTTCCGTTTTTCTTAACATTACGAGTAATATGAATATATATAATATTAATATTTTCTACACATGTGAGTATAACTTAATTGTTTTTGTTTAATTTAAAATTAAAATATGCACCCTAAAAACCGTCTTAACATTGTTATACAGTTGAGTTTTTAGTTTCTGTGTTTCTTTGCCGATAACTTAAGAAAGAGGTGTAGTTAAGATTTAACACAGTTACATACCTTGTAAGCTAGGAGCTGAAGCAGGTGCGGCGGGAGCGGGCTGATGAGGTGTAGGTGGGGGCCGACGACGGCGCGGAGCATGGAGACCTGGGGCTGAGGCCGCACGGGTTGCAGTGCGAAAACCTGGGGCCCGATACCGGGCCGATTTGACTGGGCCCGCGGGAGCTGGACTCGTCCCAGTTACAGACGGGAGACGTGGGAGTGATCCTGCACGTTCTTCTTCTTCCGACTATAACAAATAATGTTACTTATCTCACCTATCTTACATTATTCTTTTGGGTGCGTTTATTTTAGTGTAATTGAACGTATTGTACTGTCATAAGCGCCAGGCGGCTTTGCACAAAAAACAAATAATACAACAAAACAGTATGTATTATATAAAACAAAGTGCAGAAACAAACAAAACGAAATAGAGGGCCTTATTGCTAGGTATCAATCTCTTCCAGGCTCCCTTAGATTTACAGCCTAAACAAATATTTAACATTGGCAATGAAACAATTTTTTATAAACGACGTCAAAAAAAAGGACGAGGTTCTCAATTGGACTGCATTTTTTTATATATGTTACGCCATTACTCCGGCATTTTTTTTTTGTTGCAAATAGGGTACATACCTCAGTAATGGTCCTATTTAATATACAGAACTGCCTTCGTGGCCTAACGGTTACCATACCGGACTACCTCGCAGAGGTCCCAGGTTCGATTCCCAAGCCGGGAGAAAATATCTGCATGGCCTACATTTGTTTCTCTCATGAGTTTGGGTGTAATTTGTAGTTGTCTATTATCACCCGCGACGCAGGGTTCCCTAGTGCGGGGCTATGTTGAGCATGTGCGTTATTATTTAAATTTGAAGAACATATTTCTCCTCTAAGGGTGGCAAAGTAGGGGATGAATCCTGTTTTGCGCAGTTTCCGGCAACCGATTTCAATAAAACTGTGCAAATAGATGTAATTTCACGAACTTTCTAGGTCGGTTTTTTTTTTTATTAAAAGTTATGCAAGACCTAAATCATATACCATCTCAGTCAGCCGTGACTATGGGACGGGGTCTACTCTCGTCCGTCTGACATTAATTCGAAACAATTACTGTCAAACATGTAATACTCGATCAACGAGGCTTCATTCGCATCTTGCATCTTTTAATTTGGTCGACTATTACTTATTTGACAGCAATTGTTTCGGACGGATAGCGGACAGGGGACGAGAGTACAGAGTCTGTAAAAAGCCCGAAACGTTGGTTTGTTTAAAAAATAAATATACGCGATTCAGGACCCCGATCGAGAACTCTTCGATATCTTAACCGAACCTTTCGATTGGATATCGTTCTCGAATCGAAGGGCGCTTTCCGAGCTATTCAGAACATTCTAGTTAAAACGTTCGACTCAGATTCGCATACGATATCGTTATTCAACAACGGTTACGGATTAGTCGGTGAACTAGATTATAAGAAAAATAAATCCTTTTATATACATTTTTAAGACTTCAAAGGCCTAAAATATAGGAATTCATTAGTCTCGCATTAAAATAATTTAATACAATTGAACAAAATCCAGACTTTATTTAAAATAATAAGAGATTTCCATTTTAATTCTTACTTTGTAAACAGTGGAACGTTCGGTAACGTTCATTCGATAACTGTATTCTGAATAATGTTTGTAGCCTTTGCCGGTCGAGAAGTACGAGTAATCGTACGGGTGTGACGTCATTTCGGTTCGGTTTCGAATACGACAGTTTGACGTTCGATTCGGGTGTTGTGAATAAAAATGAAAGAAATCGTACGATATCTAATCGAATCGGTCGACAACAGAGTTATCGTAAGGTTCTGAATCGACCTGCTGACACGAAAAATAGTTTCATTTCCAATGTGTACTGCCGCCTTTATCTTAACTAAAGTAATCGTTAATTTTAGCGAAATTGGGTTATTGACATACCTACTTGGAATCAGCGAGACAAGATCTACAACCCTTTCTAATCGGTTTTTTTTATATTTTTTTTTCGTTTCACTTTTATTGTTAAGAGTCGATACTACCTCAGCGAATTCTATTTTTTCCCATAATATAACGGTTAATTTTGCTTAGGTCGAGCCGCAGGCTACACACTGGCTTTATTTCAGAATTTATTTTTTTACAAACGGCACTAAAGCCATTTCAAAAATGTATATCGTATACATGTTCTATTTAGTTCAGTTGATATAAAAAGTCATTGGTATATGTAAAGTACCCATTGAACACAGGGGTTTTCTTATACAATTTCGAGGTAAGTATATGTTCATTTCTATTGTGGAAATTTTTAGGAATCGTGTTTTCACACCGAATACTAATCAGTATATGTCCTCAATGTTACTATATACTTTTTTCCAACGCGATTAATTTAACACTTTCACTGTTGTGCGGGATCAACCAAAGCCATTTGAGGTTGTTTAGACGCTTAAGCAAATTCAGCGCAATTGAAATTTTTCATTTGCATTACTAAAATTTCGGCGCCAATATCTCGGAAGTTAGTTATGACAAGGGCAATTGCGTATCTTTCTTCGCAAATTTTGTAGTGACCCTCTCTATCAACCTCTTATATATATATCTATAACCTATGAAAGCACAAGCACCTTGTAAGTCCAGGACCTGACCCTAGATCAGCCCGTGGACAGTGTGACAAGAAGGGCAGTGTAGCAATCAAGCCTAGCAATGCGATACTTCGGTAGAGATAAGAACTCAATAAATATTTAACATTTAAATTCAACTCTATTCCGTTTACGCTACAAGAATGCAGCCAAATCTTAAAATTGACCGTTTTGGTTACACTGAAGATTTTGAAAGAAGACATTGAAAATCGGACGATATTTTCATTCACACCGGGTTTAATTTGCAATATCGAAAGGCGTAGTTTGAATACTTTAGTGTGAAGTCGTGCGTTCATACATTATTAGTATAATAAAATCATTCGCAATAACAGTCTAACGATTTTGTGTTCCATTCAGTGGGGTTTCGTAATAATAGCAAATTTTAAATGAGTACATACGGCACTTCTATTCGTATACTTAGCTGGCTAAAAAAATAAAAATTATGTTATATTCAAGGGAAGTGAATTTCAATTTGACTCGTTGAAATCTTTTGTATGAACAATTATTATGAATACGACATTGTCGCCAAACCGGAATGAATTTATGTAAAACATTAATTATTTAACAGCAATTATTAAAAAGGGAACGTATAGGAAATGTTGAATGTATACGTTCATATTATTGGTTGCATAATCGACAGTAATTATTTTTGTTAGTATCAAGTTTTTTTGTCATTTCAATACAATATTAACGCCGATGTAAGCAGTATAAGTACAATAGTGTTTGAAATAGTGCAGTCCACTGTAACTATTTTATCAACTTTAAACGAAATACATATATAAATAGTATGTATTTTCATATCGGTAATAGTTACGTTATGTATATTTTTAAGCAACTGACACTACGTAGAACAGGATATTGATAAAGATTCTATTATTATTATATGTGATAGGTAGACACGCTGATATATTTATGTGTGTGATTGATTTGTTACTTACCTCAGCGTCGGGGGCAGAGGCTCGCCGTCTGCCTCGCCATAGTCTATCCTCACTACCGCTGATTGCTCCACAGCTTCTGGAGTGTGATCGTTGTGCCGAGAGCTCCACCCCTGCGGGTGACCGTCGCGCCTCACATCCTCCGCCTAACGTGCCCCGCGAGTCAGCCGCTAGCAGTGCTGACTCAAAACTACCCCTCCAAGAAAACCTCTCACAGTCACTAGCAACACTTCCTCTACTGGCTGTAGCTTCCAACACATCGTGAGATTTACTCCGTGATAATGCTCCCGGCTCCGACGCACTGTCATCATCTGTACTTGGGGACGCTCCTGCTGACACTTCATGCATTAAAGCCACCAACCTACCACCTATATGTCGCATAACTTTGCCAAACAGTGGCGGTGAACCTTCCCCAGCTCGACCCAGGGTTGCCGCCAGTCTTTTGTAGGCCCCCGCTGCGTCTCTCTCTAGAGACCCAGCTTCACTATTGCCTTTATCAAACTCATCGATAATTTCTCGGCAGCTGTCGGATATTTGTTTTCTCAATGCAGATCTATTTACTGAAGTACCCTCCAAATCTGAGCCGGCGTAGTCTGACGAATCATATGAATCACTCCAAGTATCCTCACTTGAAAGATATTCGACTATTTCTCGCACTTCCTCGTCTCTTATACCCGGAACTGTTTTCATTAACCTTGTTAATTCACTTTCAAAATATAATAATTGAGGCGGTTTCGGAGGGCGTGAACTTTCGGAATTTGATGATGCGGGAGCGGAGGTTCGCACATTCGTTGAATTTATCATTTGTTTGAAAAATTGACGCATTTTTGTCATCATTAGATTAGTTTCTTCGTCTGATGACCAGTTATTAAAGCTATCTTTACGTGATAAAGGACTTGGGGGTGGACGGGAAAACGAAGGTCCTTCGACTCGTTCCTCTATATCAGGCCTCATTTCTTCAATTATTTCTTCCAGTTCTGTTTTAGGTTCATGAGATCTAACATAATCTGAATTTGAATCGCCGTTCCGTAATAGGTCGTCGCAGCTGCCAACAAATCCACTATCTCTGCTAGTTTGTTTCTTAGATTCAGACAATTCAGATCCAAGCGGTGGGAATTCTGGCCTCGGTGATATTCTGCCATCCTCACCTTCTGAAACAGACCTAGTATCGTCACGTGTTTCTTCTGGGAACTCTGTTGATTGACGACGTTCATCTGCTGGAGACCCTCGTATTTTTTTGTTTTGCTTCTTTCTTTTGGAATCACCTTGTAAATCAAGCCTTTCTGATGAGTCATGGCGATCTTCAGTTTCTGTGCTAGACCCATCTGATACTTCTTGAGTATCTTGAGAAGGCTCTTCACCCGTTAATAAATTATCTAAAGATGATGAGTGTGACCGCGGTGTACCACGTGCACGCACTAATCGCTTCCGCCTTTGTTCAGGACTTTGTCTGCCTTCACTGTCACTTCCCACACTACCAGATCCATCTGAATCACGTCGTTCTTGATTAAAACCCATGAATCCCGACAAAAAATACTTCTCCAGACGTGATGACACAAGTTCATCGTTATCACTGCTTCGTTTTGGCTGCTCATTGTCAACAATTGATTCCCCACCCTCACTGCACACACTTGATGTTTCTGACACTGGTTCATCATCATCATCATCACGAACATTCCTGCCGTCACCCAAACCGAAAAAGAAATATTTCTCTAATTCGGTCGCCGATATAGGTCGCGGTTTCCTCGAAGTATGTTCCGTTTCGCTTTCTTCGCAACTTTCTTCAACTATTGTGTGTAAAGTGAAGTCTAGGGAACGTCGACAATACGCGAAATCTTCTCCTCGTGTGGGTAACGACGCTTCATCCCCTGAATCCGAGTCAGAGGGCGAAGTGGCCTCGTCCTCGTCATGGCTGACGTCCTCGACCCACGAGTCGTCGTCGGCAAGCCCCTCCTCGAGGCACACAACGGCTGAGAGAGTGTCGGCATTGCTAACAACAGTCACTCCGCCCGAAGGCTGTTGCGCTTCGTCGTCGGAAATTCGTTCAGTTGATTCGTTATCCTGTTCATTAGTGGACGGTTGAGTTTCGTTTTGCGAATTAGTATGATGCACTGTGATATCCCGCATGAGCCGCGTCGTATCCGACGTCACGACTGAGACGCAGTCGTGCGTTATCATAACGCGACTTGTGAAACGCGCGGACCCGTCCGCACTGGCGCTGCGCGAGCGGCAAACTGTTGTCGCGGCAGGTGCGCTCGCGCCCCCCTCCGTGCCTGTGCAAGCCGGCCTCACACTGCGAGTTTTCTCCGCCTCTTGATCCTCCAATAATTCTTTCTTCAATAGTTCACCGAGTGTTCGTTCAATACCTTTAAACAAGTCTATTTTTTCCGCTGGTGGTTCGTGTGGCAACGAAACGGGCTCGTTTTGTGTAAGTTCCGGTGAAGGTGCTAATTTTCTTAATGAAGAGTTTGAAGATTCATCTAGTTTTAACTTTTGTTTAGTGCATTCCTGTCTCGGCGATTCAATTGTGTTATTTGTTTCGGTAAAAGTATTATCTAATGAATCGCATTCCACATTTTTCGATATAATTCTATTTTGATTACCGTTGTTGCTATCAATAATACTATTATCTAAATTACTGATACTGGTGCTACAAGACGCAGTAAAACTATTATATTTCTCGCAGGTTTCACTTTGGAGCATATTCATATCGCAGAATTTGAAAAAGTTAGACTTTTTAACTGTTTCTTCATCATTTTCATGAATATTATTCCTATACGGTATAACAAAATTTTCTTCAGATAAATTAATGGACTCTAAAAGCACAATACCAGAATTACTAGAATTATTTTCGGGATCGCTATCATTTGATTCCGCACTAACACTTAATTCATTTTGCATAGCCACTTCCACAGCAATTATTTCAATGTCAGACTTTTTATCGTCGGAATCATCACAATCAATTCCGCTGCTGTCAGCATTGTCTTCAAGATCCGATGACGAGTCAGCTGGGTTAACCACAAACACTCTTGAGAATCGGCCACCTCCCCCTCCAGAGTCATCGGAGTCCTCATCTGAAGTCGCTGGTTCTTCAGGTGCACCACTAGTTACGTCATAACTTCGACGAGCGACGCTCGCATCCGAGTCACTCGATTCGCCAGATTCGTTCGACGAGGGAAATGCTTTTTCCGCTTCCAAATGTTCCGGCATTTTTTCCATTTGTTCCGACAATATCGATACAGATTCCTCCTCGGCGATCACCTTCATATCGTTTGACGTATCATGTCCGACTGGCGGCTTAAAGCTGTTATCATTGTTATCGTTATCACGTGGCCCTGGCGCTTGTGGCGATTCCGATTGTATTGCTTTATCATTTCTTTCTACCATCATCTGAAGTGTTTTTGTTTGAGGTTGAGCGGTAGCAGTAGCGGTAGCAGCAGCAGTGACGGCGACGGCGGCGGCCGTGGTGAGTCTCGCGAACGCCGCTGCATCGAGCGGTGGGAAGCCGGGATAGGTGTTCCAGTGTGGCGTCGGTGGCGTTTGCGAGGGGAAAGCGAGTAATGCGGGCCAAAGTGCGGCAGGGACAGGTACTGGCACGGGAACGGGAACGGCTATCAAACGAGGTTCCGCGCCGCAGGAGCAGGGCCGCGGGCAAGCCTGCGGCGCGTGCTTGGTAGGTGGAGGAGTGGGCTGCGCCGCCGCCGCGCCCGGTTCGAAATAATCCCAATCACAATCGTCGGGCGCAGGCGGCGCGGCGGAGGAGGCGGTGGACGAGGAGTCTTCCGTGTCCTCGCGACACGATGAGTCTGAGCTGAGAAAAACGAGGCGGTAGTCCTCGGGACGCATGCGACCGGCCTCTGGTTCGCTTGCCTCTCCTGGCTCACTGCTGACGCCCCACTCTGAAATTAAAAAAAGTTTTATGAACAGATGCAAACCCCATTTACATTTGCGGGATGAAAGAATGTAATTGGGTTAGTAATAAAACAGCAAAACTTCCCATGTATATTGTTTTTAAGCAAAAATCTGTGTTCAGCAGCGTATTATGTAACTGCATTGATGTAGCGATGAGCAAGTGCCTGTAGATATATTGTGAGCATTAAAAACTGTTTGAACATTTAAAATTATTTGCTACTACTGAATGTGTAGGCGTCTTGAAGCCACGCAATGATATTCTTAATTTATAAATATGCGCTCTAAAGTTGTTTTAGATTAGTAGTGACATTAATATGCTATTCTTATTTCCACTTTAAAAAAATTATTAAGTTTATGGACTTTTCATTTCAACTCTTAGCCTATTACGTCATGTTGAACAGTACCTATAAATTTCTAACAATGGTTAATTTAACGTTCACAAATTACTATCGTGTGCACGTACTTAAATTAGCTTAAATTTGATTACCTATTTGTTGTACTATGATGGATGACGAATAATTGTAATAATTCGTGCCCAAAAATTTTACAAAAGATACTTAGAGATTACAATTAACTTACAATATGGAATTCACTCACAATTAAGAAGTATTATTAAGAATGGTTGCAGATTATTGTGGACTATGGCACGTCATGTGATAGCAATCATGCTAATGCCAATAGAAAGCACCACGGATGGGTGGCCCGGCAGCCGGCTTCGTGAGTCGAAAGCGACATGCGGCACGAATCATCTCTACCGAGTTATATTGCCGGAACGTTCGATAAAGCTGGGGATATCTCGAAGGAAGCCAGTTTAAGAGTTTGTATCAGCACTCCCAACACTGGAGATAATTCAAAAGATATAAGGTCCATAATTCATCACATTAATTAATGGTGGTTGGAGACATTTTCACTTTTGTCTTAGTTTTATGAACTTTTTCTGACATATAATTTTTCCATCAGATTACAAAGTTGCATAGTATGGCTGCTGTGACAAGTTATGCCCTAGGTCTGTTTTCTTGTGTTTGTAACAGAAAGTTTACTCCCGACGATTTCCCCGTTCACTGTGTTCAGGGTACTTCGTGGTGTATTTCATGCGTCGTGGAATAAAATGTATTATAATTGATGATAAAAATCATATTTACTAAATAAATAATACAATAAATGCTATGTTCTGATTAATAATAATAACGTACACATTAAACATAGCCCCGCACTAGGGAAACCCTGTGTCGCGGGTGCCATGGACACACATAGACAACCACAAATTACACCCAAACTCACGAGAGAAATAAATGTAGGCCATATAAATATTTCTCCCGGCCCGGGAATCAAACCTCTGCGTGGCAGTCCGGCATGGTAACCGTTCGGCCACGGAGGCAGTTAAAATTTGATCATTCTTAATCAAAAGAAGAAGATTTATTTAACTTAACATGTAAACATAATATGCACATTACGTGACCGAACGGTGACGATACTGGTCCTGGATTCGATTCCCGGTTCAAGAGAAATATTTCTATGGCGTACATTTTTCTGGCCTACAATTTGGGTGTAATTTGTGGTATCTGTGTGACCAAGTCACCCGCGACACAGGTTTTCCCTAGTGCAGGGTTATGAGTGTGTGCGTTATTTATTAATTAGAAAAAGCAACATTCCTAAATTTCTAAATATATGAATGAATATACTTTATTGCACAGATAAACACACGAACATAAACACATGTACAGATAAACATACGCACAACAGGCGGCCTTATTGCTAAGTAGCAATTTCTTCCAGGCAACCTTAGGATAGGAAAAGTACTTAGAAGGGGGTGCAACCAAGATACAAGATACCACAGCGATAGATTGAGAAACAATATTAATAAATACTAATAATAATATAGTGCAGAGTAAATCCTCCTTTCTCTCTCTCTCCGTCTTAACTTTGCTATAACACTTTTCCATGCTATGCAATATTGTGGTAAATGCAATAAATAATTGAAGTGAATATTTAGGAACGACTTAAATATACTTTTTCTTGTCTCCAAATTGTAGTTACCTCTTGGAGTTCCGAGTATTTACTAATTATTTCAGTTCTTGTCTTAATACGTTATGTGTGTTGGTAATTGCAATATTTACTAGGTAAGTGCTTTATTTATTATTATTCAGTAATTCCAATTTGCAAAGAAATTGAATTTTTTTAAATACGGCTATATATGTCTATAAAAACACTAACGAAAAACATAAACGAGGCTTACATATACTTAGAGGGCGCCGGCGCAGATGCCATGACATTGAGCAAGACAGTAAAGCACGATTTTCTCTGTAGATCCAATTTTTTTGTTTACGACATTGTACCCGGTATGATTGTCACAAAAACTACGAATGGAAATATTGGGAAATATTATTTGTAAATGTATATAAAAATATATATAATAAACGCTAAATATTAATTACCATAAGTTAGTTACACTGCTGGTTGATAATAATGCGTAACTACAATTCGTACATACGCCCATACGTGAGCATAATGTTTAAAGTGCTTTTGTGACATGAAACAAATTATGTATATATGTGAAATATTATAGTGTCTCCTTTTTAAGAGTCGATACTACTTCAGCTCAAATTTAATTTTTGCCCATACTAATACGGTTCATTTTGCTTGGGTCGAGCGACAGGAACAATATTTTTTTACAAACGACATTAAAGCCATTTGAAAAACGTATATCGTATAGTATATACGAGTTCTATTTAGTTCAGTTGATATTAAAAAAATCATTGATTCAATCAATCAATCGTTGGTATATGTAAAGTACTATATAATTCAGCGGTTTTCTTGTAAAATTTCGAGGTAAGTTACATACCCTCAAGTAACATATCCTCAATTTTACTGTGTGTTTTTCACTATTGTGCAGAATCAATCAAAGCCATTTGAGGTTATACAGACACTTAAGCATAAAAAAGTTAATGACGAATTTCATTCGTAGAGCCTTTAAACCTCTCTCTTAAAAAGTCGCCATTTTGGAGATGGTCTTGTTACACCAAGTGTGTTAATTATTAAAAAAAGACGACTATTTTAAAGATTCTACGCCAATTGCATCACTAATACATCAGGGATCGGAATAGGATCGGGCTGGTAATTACACTGGTTCTTTCAGCCTTTTAATCCCAAACACAGCAGTGCTGCTTTACGGTAGAAACATGTTCCTACTCAAACGGATTCTACGCATACAGACAATACAACCAAGGACCGAAACAGGTAACAGTTATAGACGATTCAGCGCGAGCAAAATTTAACCATCGAATTTACAATGTGTTTTAATGCCGGTTTTTGGCGTCGAAACCTTTAGCCGGTATATTACAAATTCTGTCTTTTTTCACAAGAAAATAGTGTTCCATTTTACACGAGTTGAAAATAATACAACGGTTACTTTGATTCCTAAACTCTAGCATCAGTATCTACTCTAATTGTAACTTAACATAGTGTGTGTAAATGAATTCTCGCTGATCTTGAACTTAAATGATTTCCTATTTAGATTGTATGATTAATTAAGCATTTAAGCATCTGTGATTTCCTTTACGCCTTAGTACGATGTTCACACAATATACAGTAATATCAAAAACACCATTTTGATGAACAGCAACAAAAATTATGTAGTAAAATATTTTTCGATTTTTTTTTTAGTTTTTCAGGTTAATAACATAAAAACCCTTTTAACTGTAGTAGAAATAGAGATTATCCAGAAGGAGTTCATCAAGTTAAACACTGCCACCTTACATATTTCTGCGTCCGAACAGTAATGTGAGCGTTACTGCGTTCCGGTTTTGAAGTATCCTTCAGGGAGCTGGTGAAATTACAGGCACATGAGACGTGTCAATATGTCTCAGGCGCAGTGGGGACATTGCCGTTTCTCAGATCTTTGCGATTGAAAACTCTTAATGGTACTGCAACTGCTGAGGAGCAGGTGTGTCGCTTAACACCAAGCAGACTTGTTTGTTCCATCACTTGCATATTCGATATTAAATAAATTATGTCCAGCTTTTGTCAAAGTCAAACTCACAGAATCATTTATTCCATAGGTAAAATAAATTTACACTTAAAAACGTCACATTAAGCTACTGATCGTTCACTACGCTGACTTCCCTGAGAAGAACGAGCAAGAAACTCTAGGGATTGCTCTTTTCAAATAAACTTAAATGCTATGGAATACTTTGAATCAAATTTGTGTGAATTCTGGAGCCATGTCGTCTTTCCATACATCTTTACCTAACACGTAGTCTTCAATTCCGTAATATGATTTTTCAATCATAATATTTTTAATGTAGTTTTTAAACTTAGAAAGTGATGGTCTTAATATATGCTCCGGAATCTTATTGTAAAAACGTATACAGTTCCCCTTGATTGTAACTAATAAGTTTCTTTTGCTTTGACAACAGTCGAAATATTGTCAGCATAGATATTGTCAGCGCGATGTAATTACAAAGCACCGTTTATGATTTGCTGTGTTTTGGTTTGACACTATAGCTGACTGTAGAGTTTGTTGTTTTATTCTAGTACAGTTGGAAATTATTCCGGTGTTACTACAGGGTAAGGTAATATACACTATTCTTTACTTCAAGGTGAAGCAAAAAAACGACATAAATTACTTAGATTTTCACACTTGTCATGTGAGGAATATATATATTTCTTTTAGCAAGACAAAAATCATTAAGATCAAAGTGGAAAGCCGATATTATCGCCATCATTTCAGGCTCCAAAATATCTAATCATCAATTTGTCGTATATTTGTGGGATTGTGAGACGGGCCCCTACTAGATGGACAGATGACCTGGTAAAGGCGGCGGGTAACCGGTGGATGCATGTCGCGTCCGATCGCCTGGTCTGGAAATTTTTGGAGGAGGCCTATGTTCAGCAGCGGATGTCTTCCGGCTGATATGATGATGATGAATTTTTCGTATATATAGGCCACACTGTAAGCTGGACTTACAGGAAGTAAAATTCGAGGTTT